TTTGAGTCATGTGATGACTGCCATGCACTTGCTCCGCCTTGACGGCAGGGGTAAACCCCAGAGGCCTTAGGGCCTTGGAGCTTTGGCAGACCGATGTCACCCAGATTGCCGAGTTTGGCCGGCTCAAGTATGTGCATGTCATGGTGGACACGTTCTCCTCTGCGATGTGGGCTTCTGCTCACACTGGGGAGAAGGCCCGTGATGTCCTCGCCCACTGGAGGCAGGCCTTTGCCGTTCTGGGCATACCTTCTGCTGTGAAAACCGACAATGGTCCTGCACACGCATTGCAAAAGGTGCGGCAGTTCCTGCAATTGTGGGGTGTCTAGCACAAGTTTGGTATCCCTCATTCTCCAACTTGTCAAGGTATTGTAGAATGAGCTCATGGTACTCTGAAGCAGGTTCTTCAAAAACAAATGCAGGGTGAAACCTTGCACAGTCGGTTGGCAAAAGCTTTGAGCACAATCAATCATCTCACTGTGCCGCACAACTCAAATAATCCTGTCAATTTGAATCACCATCTCTCGTTGCAGGCTGCGGACGAGGCACATCAGCCTTGAGTGAAGGTTCAGGTGCAGAATTTAGTCACCAAACAGTGGGAAGGTCCCTATGACCTTATCGCTTCGGGGTGCAGGTATGCTTGTGCATCCACACATACTGGGGTACGCTGGGTACCTTCGAAATGTGTTCGCCCCGAGCTGCGACCGCAGAGACAGAATCCAGCTGATGAGCAAGATGGAAACCGTGACCAACCTGAAAGACATCAAGCAGATGAATCATTGAGTGATGACTCAGATGCAGATGATGAGAGTGATCACTCCGATGATTCCTCCGCAAGTTGACACCAAACATTGTTCATGTTTTCTTTTTCACATTGTTCATTTTCTTTTCTCCTTCTCTCTTTTTAAATGGAAAAGGGTGAGATGTCGCCCTGATTTTTTAAGATTTTCTAAGCCTTCTGATGTTGACACTCTTGTAGCGAACTTTCTCACACACTTTCTGTAAATAACTCATTGTTTTGCATTCCTTTATGGAGGAGGAGAAAGTTGACGGACTGTTGGTTTTTCCGGTGTCATTGGAGAGGTGGCACTGTCACCCTCCAATCCGCTGTCACTTTTGGAAAACTATAAATGTTTGAGTCAGAAAATAAACTTTCCTTTTTTCTTCACCTTGAGAACAGCTGTGTGTGCTTGTGTTCTTTCATGTCCTATAGCGACAATTGTTGACTTCCACTTAAGTGAGACTCAATAAAACTCGAGTCTCACTTCAGTGTTGTGGCTGACCTGAAGGCGTACATCTTCCAGCGACATCTGGCTGGCAGGATCACTGCTGGAGACATTCACAGTGACCTCAATTAATCTGGTCCCTGTTCGGGTGCCAAGTGTAGCATTGTGGCACCACTGAGGCCCTTGGAGCATCCGGCACTCATAAGCCCAAAGCTTACTGCCACCTTAGAAAGCTGACAGAATAGGCAGGATGGGGCTTCACATGATCTCCTGTAAACTGGGTTTATTGGTACAGGAACCGGCCACAAAACCCAAGAGGGTCCAGAGACGAAGATAGGGTGTAGGCTGAGGGCACAGAGTTTTATATGGGATAGTGAGGGTGGAGCTGAGGGTCTGGGTCCAATGGGTGTAGGGGAAAATGGTGCAAAAGAGTAGTTAGGGTCGAGTCAGCCAATACGGAAACAGGGGCAGAGGAATTGGCCAATACGGAAACAGGGCCAATGGAGGGACTAGACAAATGTGGACAATAGGGCTTGAAGTAAGTAATGTGCTAATGGGCCAATGGGTAACATAACTTTACAAAAATCAGCATTTGCCTGCAAAGATCCATGGGAGAAGCAAGCATCTCACCCTAACATGAAAGCTGATTCCTCTTACTTGGGACCAGCCCTTCCAGGCTGGTAGATTGAGACTCTGATGGTAGGACCCTGGGCCTCCACACACCCTCACAGATGGCCCAGGGCAGACCTGGACTGATCTTGGTGGCACTTGGATTTGGCAAACACTTGAGGAGGGTGTCTGTTTTCAGTGGGGAACTTAGGAGTATTACATTACTAAAATAAAAGAAGAAAACCCCTCTGAGTGCCACCAGTTCTCCAAGCAAAGCTGGCCCCAAGTCACAGAGGACGGACAGGATGGCGTTGGCGAATGTGGAGCAAGGTGGTGCACACAGGGTCAGATCTCAAGGCACAGGTTCTCTGATCAGTCCACACCTCTTGAGGAGAGTCCCTGGGTCAATCAGTCATTGAATGCTGCAATTATCTCTGTTCTAAAGAGAACAACACACCCTTAAAACAGAAATGGGGATTTATTAGAACCTCTTTGAAATATTTCTCAGTAACTATATAAAAAGAAATTCCTAATGAACTGAACAACAGAGGATGGAAATAAAGGCAGAGCCATGGTTTGTCAGGATTTGCTTGGTCCTAATGAGCCCTGTGGGGGATTTGGAGCTGAGGCCTTGAACCTCAGGACCCGAGAGGAGATTGCACAAACCTTTCAGGAGTCAAAGACAGAAGAAAACCTCAAAGTGTCTCAAAGCACGAATGGGTCCCACTGAGGTCCATCCCAAAACAGGCTCCTCATGGGCTGCTTGGAGGAGAGAACTGGAGGCCAGGATGGCACAAAAACCTCACAGAGACAAAGTATGGAAAGGAGAATCCAAAGTACCTTAAAAACCTTGAGAATCTCAAATCGGTAATGTGCCCCACTGAGTGTCAGTACAGAGCTCTCAAGGGATTCATTAACGCAGATAACTGGGGCCATGACTGCACAAATTTCTCATAGAGTTTGTACGAAAAGTGAAACACCAAGTACATTAAAATAACTGAAGTACCTTGAAGCATTAATGAGCCCCACTGAGTGTTGTTACTGAGAAAGCCTCTCCAGGGACTCATTACAGCAGATAATTGGAGGCCATGATTGCACAAACCTCTCAGAGACTCCAAGGCAAAAGCCAAACTAAAAGTCTTTTGAAAAACCTGCAGTCCCTACAGGGAGCATTAAAAAGCCCACCCAGGGCCATTCCTGAGCAAGGCTCCCCAGGGACTCCTTCCAGCAGATCCTTGAGGCCACTGGGATGTGGGCTTGGGGTGGGGGGATGCTGAGGGTAGGACAAGGGGCTGACAGTGCCCAGCCTTGCTGGGGCTGTGCCAGGTGCCCCAGTGCCTCAGGACAAGGTGTCTCCTCACAGCCCTTGGTGGCACAGACCCTGCTGCTGTGCCCCAGGGCACCAAGACTTGGCTTCTCTTTGTCCCCACCTGTCATCACTGCCTCCAGTTCTCTGCTCTGCCTGGGGCCTGGGGACACTTTCTCAGTCATGTCCCTCACTGGGACCCATTACAAGTCCAAGAAACTTTGGAGTTGGATTCTGACTTGGAGTTCTGGAGAGGTTTCTTCAGCTCCCTCTCAGGAACTGATGTTCAGGGCCTGAGCACAAAGCCCCAGAGGCTCATTAAAGTCCTTGTGCTGTGTCTGTGCTGCTGAGCTGGGCTGGGCTCCTGGCACAGAGGCAGCTCCTGGTAACCAAGAAGAGTTTCAAAAGCACATTTCTCTTGATGAGCAGCTCTTCTGACAGCCCAGCAGGGCTGGGGCTCTGCCTGCAGCCACCCTGGGCACAGCACAGAGGCACAGAGAGCTTCAATCAGTCAGGGCTGGGAAGGTGCTGAGAAGTGCCTGGGGCAGAATCACTGCCAGCCCTTGGCACAGGAGCCTCTGGCTGCAGGACAATGCAGCTGCAGTTCCTGGAGCCATCTCCTAAAGCTGGAACATCCCAATGCCTACAGACCCTGTGAGTACATTCTCTGATTGTCTCTTGTGCAGAGCAGCCAGGGGTGCCCGGGGCTGTACTGCAGAGCAGGGTCCTGCAGCCCAGGGCGCTGTGCTGGGGCAGGGACTCTGCTGCCTGCCAGGGACAGCTCTCAGCCAGCCCTGGCAGCTGCTCCCAGCACTGGGGGACAAGGTCTGCGTGGGAGGAGACAGCTGGTAAGGCTTGAAAGTGTTCTCCTTGTGTGGTGATGATGCTGCATTGTCCAGGACTGCTCCCATCCTGGCATTTAACTGCAGAACATTTCCAAATAGATTATACAGGGAGCATAGCAAGGCAGGGGCAGCAGGAAAGGGGAAGTCCTGCTTTTTTAATCTACTTCTCTGGGTTGCCTTGATGGGAAATCGCAAACAGATACTCATCTATCACTCCAGCATGAGAAAAAAATTTTTTTCTCAGATCTTACTACACCAGGCAGTGACAGAAATCAGAACAAGACCTCTTAGAGGCAGCATCAGTGTTGCTTTTCCAGCCTCCTCAGGGTTGCTCTGACTTTGCCATTAGAGCCTGCAAAGCCAGAGCTGTCCCTGGGCAGTGCCAGAGCTGGGAGGGGTCTGCAGGGCAGAGCTGAGCCCCCAGGGCTGGGCTGGGCTCTGGCAGCACTGGCAGGGCTCAGCCCTTGGCACAGGGAAGCAGCTGCTGGCAGGGACAGCTCCAGGCAGCAGAGCCCTGTTCAGGCAGGGGGGGGGCAAAGGGCCACCAGGCTGTGCTGGGGTATTTAAAGTCCTCTCCAAACCCAACTATTCCATGATTAATTTTTTACAGATCCCCATGCCAAGATACCATAGGAAATGTCCAACAGCAGCTCCATCAGGCACTTCCTCCTGCTGGCATTGGCAGACACGCGGCAGCTGCAGCTCCTGCACTTCTGCCTCTTGCTGGGCATCTCCCTGGCTGCCCTTCTGGGCAACAGCCTCATCATCAGCGCCGTAGCCTGCGGCCACCACCTGCACACGCCCATGTTCTTCTTCCTGCTCAACCTGGCCCTCAGCGACCTGGGCTCCATCTGCACCACTGTCCCCAAAGCCATGCACAATTCCCTCTGGCACATCAGGAACATCTCCTACTCAGGATGTGCTGCTCAGCTCTTTCTCTTTATGCTCTTCATTGGAGCAGAGTTTTATCTGCTGACCATCATGTGCTACGACCGCTACGTGTCCATCTGCAAACCCCTGCACTACGGGACCCTCCTGGGCAGCAGAGCTTGTGCCCACATGGCAGCAGCTGCCCGGGACAGTGCCTTTCTCAATGCTCTCATGCACACAACCAATACATTTTCCCTACCCCTGTGCCATGGCAATGCCCTGGGCCAGTTCTTCTGTGAAATCCCTCAGATCCTCAAGCTCTCCTGCTCCAAATCCTACCTCAGGGAACTTGGGCTCATTGCAGTCAGTGTCTGTTTGGTATTTGGTTGTTTTGTGTTCATTGTTTTCTCCTATGTGCTGATCTTCAGGGCTGTGCTGAGGATCCCCACTGAGCAGGGACGGTATAAAGCCTTTTCCACCTGCCTCCCTCACTTGACTGTTGTTTCCCTGTTTGTCAGCACTTCAGCATTTGCTCACCTGAAGCCCCCCTCCATGTCCTCCCCATCCCTGGATCTGGCCCTGTCAGTTCTGTACTCGGTGGTGCCTCCAGCCCTGAACCCACTCATCTACAGCCTGAGGAACCAGGAGCTCAAGGCTATAGTGTGGACACTGATGACTGGATGGTTACAGAAACATTAAACTGTTGGTCAATTTCTGCAAATCACTTGTAATAAAAGTAATTCTGAAAACTTCTTGTTGGTTTCATTTTCGAGATCTGTTTCCTTTGTTTTAATTTTTTCATATTGTCAACAAAGTAAAGCCATTCCTTGTGCCATTTCTCATTTTTTTTCTCTCCACCTTCCCTGTGGCCACAGATTCTGTCAATGATGGGCTGCACTCTTGGTGGCTTTAAATGAACCAAAGGATCTCCCAGCAAAGTTTTCTGCAGACATGCCCTTTTGTTGCCTTCTCTGGAGCTGCAGCAGCAATGTCTGTGTGCAGAGCTGGGGACAGATCTGTGCTGAGTACAGCAGCCCTGCTCCTGCTGGCTGCACCATTCCTGATCCAGGCCAGGAGCCATTCGCCTTCTTGCCCACCTGGGCACCCCTCTGCCTCATGCCCAGCCTGCTGTCCATCAGTCCCTGTAGGTCCCTTTCTGCCTGCCTGCCCTCCAGCCTCTCTGTCCCCAGCCTGTAGTGCTGCAGGGCTTGTTGTGGCCAAAGGGCAGGACCCGGCACTGGGACTTGTTCAACCTTGCCTTGTTGGATTTGGGCCCTGGATCCAGCCTGCCCAGGGCCCTGTGCAAAGCCCTCCTGACCTCCAGCAGATCAACACTCACATCCAGCTTGGTGTCATCTGCAAAGATGTCCTTGGTTCCATGGGGCCCCTCAGTGTCACAATGGCCTCTTGGTTACACCAGGCCCTGCACTGTCACACTAGTCTCCTTGGTTCCATAGGGCCCCAAAATGTGACAGTTGACCCCTTGGTTCTGTGGGACTTCACAGTGTCATAATGTTCTCGTTGGTGCTGCAGTTCCACAGTGGGCCCTTGTTTCCATGAGGCCCCAGAGTGTCACAATGCCCCTATGGTTACATGAGGTCCCACACTGTCACCATGGTCTCTGTGGTTCCAGAAGTCCCCTCAGTGTCACAATGGACTCCTTGTTTCCACAAAGCCACACAGTGTCACAACGTTCTCCCAGATTCATTGAGGCCCCATCGTTTCACAGTGGCCCCTTGGTTACACAGGATTCGGCAGTGTCACAATGTCCCCTTGGTTCCATGAGGCCCCGCAGTGTCACAATGTCCCCTTGGTTCCACTGGGCCCTGCAGTCTCCCAATGGTCTCCTTGGTTTTGCAGTGCCAAAATGGTGAAAGCCCTTGGTTACACAAGGCCCTGCAGTCTCACAATGGTCTCTGTGGTTCCATGAGGACCCAGAGTGTCACGGAGCACTCCGTGGGTCCATTTGGCCCCAGAGCACCACAGTGGACCCCTGTTTCTGTGGGGCTGCACGGTGTCACCATGGTCCTCTTAGTTCCACTAGGCCCTGCAGTGTCACAATTGCCCCAGAGCCTCCCAGTCATGACAGAATAACAGAATCAAATAGGCTGGAAAAGACCTTTGAGATGATCAAGTCCAACCAATGCCCTAATACTGCCTTGTTACACAGAGCATGTCACTAAGTGCCACTGGAGAGGGACAGTGACTCTGCCACCTCCCCCCACAGCCAGCCCATTGCAATGCCCACTCACCCTTTCTGTGAAGAACTTCTTCCTATTGCCCAGCCTGAACCTCCCCTGGTGCACCTTAGGGCTGTGTCTTCTTGTCCTGCCCTCCAGCAGATCCACACTTGTGGGATCTCAGCACATCAGTCCTGATGTGCAGAGTCACCCAGATAACCCTTGGGGGGCTCGGAGGTCCTGGAATGTTGCCAGAAGTGTCTGGTGGCTGGACTTTGACCCTGCACAGGAAACGACACTTGTATGAGGATGGGAGGATCTCACGGGGATGAATGGTGAAGAGATAGGTTAATTATAGTGTGAAACACAGGTTTTAGAATTTCGGTACAGGGGGGTCTAGAGAAGTAAGATGGAGGAATTGGGGCGTGTCCTGTCCTTCTTCTTCTTCTTCTTGGCCTCCATCTTCTGTGGTGGTGGTGGCACTTTAGGATTGGTTCTTACTAAAAGTGCACTTGTCAATAAGGGTGAAAAGCATTGGGGAAAATAGGTAAATATCTTATACGTAGTTTTGAGTATAAAGATAAGTGACCGCCCTGAGGGCACGCAGTGTGCTCATGGCCAGCGTGCTGTGCGGACCTCTGTCGGGCCAAGAGAAAATCTTGTAGATAAAAACTAATAAACACTGAAGACCGAGAAAAAACCTGAAGACTCTTTTCGTCCTTTGGAGTGCGGGCTGTCCCAAGGCCATCTCGAGCCTTTCCAGGCCATCAAAAGCAGCCGAGAACGGGAGACACACTCACACCCAGCTTGGTGCCATCTGCAATTTGTGCACGGTGGACTCGATCCCCTCAGCCAGATCATCAGTGAAGATATTAAACAGGACTGGGCCCAGCACAGATCTCTGGGGGAAACCACCAGTGCCTGGACACCAGCTGGGTGCAGCACCATCCCCACCACTCTCTGGGCCCAGCCTCCTGCCAGCTCTTCAATCTCCCAGCGAGGAGGGAACCTGCCTAAGCCATGGGCTGCAGCTTTTCCAGGGAATGCTGTCAGAGACAGTGTCAAAGGCTTTGCTGAAATCCAGGCACACAACATCCACAGCCTTTCCTGCATCCACAAGTGGGTCACTAGGTCATAATGGGAGACCAGGTAGGTCATGCAGGACCTGCCACCCCTAAATCCACGCTGGCTGGCTCTGATCCCTCGGCCATCCTGTTGGTGCCTTGTGATGGCACTCAAGGTGATCTGTTCCATAACCTTGCCGGGCACCCAGGTCAGGCTGACAGGCCTGGAGTTCCCCAGCTCCTCCTTCCGGCCCTTCTTGGGGATGGGCTCACATTGGCACCTCCAGTCCTCCGGGCCCTCCCTGCTGAGCCAGCACTGATGGTAAATGATGGAGAGCAGCTTGGGGAGCTCATGCCCCAGCTCCCTCATGCCCCTAGGATGGATTCCATCCAATCCCATACACCTGTGAGCATCTGAGTGGCTCAGCAGGTGCCCAGCTGCTTCCTCCTGGATTACAGGGGGGGCTGTTCTGCTCCCTGTGCCCATTTACCAGCTCAGGAGAACACCTGTCCTTAGAACAGCCTGTCCTAATATTGAAAATTGAGACAAACATGGTGTTAAGTAGCTCAGCTTTTCTTTCTCTTTAGTTTCTATATTCTCCACTACATCCAATAAGGAGTAGACATTCCCTTATCCCTCCTTTTGCTATACACTTTTTTATACAAAGTTTTTTTTAAAATTTTTTTACAGAATGGGCCAGGTTAAGTTCTGATTGAGCTTTACGTATCTAATTTTCTTTCGGATAACATAATGACATCCTTAAACACTTCCTGAGTTGCTGGTCCTTTTTTACATCGGGGTTCCCACAAAACCTGAATGGGCAGCTAAGCCAGTCATTTTCCTCACTAGATCATCTTTTGCCACACTGGCAGAGGCTGCTCCTTCCTCTTCGGGATTACTTTCTTGAAATGTGTCCATCCTTCCTGGACCCCTTTGTTTTTAAGGGCTGTTTCCCTTTAAAGAATCAGGACCTGATTTGGTACTCCCCAAATCAGCATCCTAAACTGGCCAAAGTCTGCCCTTCCTAATTCCAGTGCAGAAGTTTTGTTGCTGCCCTTCCTTATTTCACAGAAGATCACAGAGTGGGCTATGACATCACAGAATGGGGTATATGAGGTCATAGAGCAGCTATGACATCACAGACTGCCTCTGTGATATCACAGAGCAGGCTGTGACATCACAGGTTAGAGGTATGACATCGCAGAGCAAACTGAGACATCCCAGAGCGGGCTGTGGCATCACAGAGGGGCTGTGTGACATCCCAGCAGGGCTGCGTCAGGTCACTGGGTTGGTCACTCCGCCCCAGCTCCCCCTCACAGTTTCTCCCAACAAGTCCAATGCTGTTCATGCCCAGCAGGGTCCCTGTCCCCCGAGATCTCCCCAGCCCACCTGGAGCCACAGCCTCCACCAAAGGATGTTCCACAGGATCCACCCCAGAGCCTGACAAGGGGACAAGGGGCCAGGGCTGTGTGACCAGGACACCAAGGATGGATCGTGACTCCCGGTCACTGTGGCCTGGTTTGGGTTCCCCAGGGCAGGAAAGATGTCTGGCAGCTTGAGCAGGGTCTGGGAAGGGCCTCCAAGGTGAGGCTGGAGCCCTTGGGCTGTGAGCAGAGGCTGAGGGAGCTGGGCTTGTCCAGCCCTGAGCAGGGAAGGCTGAGGGGCTCCTCATCCCAGCCTGGCAGTGCCAGCGAGGAGGGGATGGAAAACACAGAGCCAGGCTCTTCACAGGGGAGGCTGGTGGGAGACAAAAGCCAATGGGTGGAAGGGGAAAGAGGGGAGATCAGCCAGGACAGGAGGAGATGAAATGAGTCAGGAGGCTTTCAGCATTTCCTCAACACCAAGAGCAGCCTGACCTGCCTTCTCCTACCACCACTGACAGCTTTGCAAATCGGGAATTGTTTGAGCTGTTTTGCCCCCACTCCAGAATGAGCATCCTGATACAAAAACTTAATTGTATTTATATCTATCACAGAACCACGTTTGTGTGAAATAAATGTTAGTCTGGAAATCATTTGTTGATGGTGGACTCACGAGATCCTGCTGGGACATTGCACATGGCTCAGAGACCAGCATGATTGTTATTAAATTGTGTCCTGTTCAACTGTGGTCTGTTGGCCATGAAGAGAAACTTTCTGTGCCTCTGAGTTTCTGCAGTTCCTGCCCCCCAAAGGACACAAACCTCATTAGTTGTGGCTCCCACCCCAGTGGTGGCACTTGCATCTCCCTCCATCCCCAGAGCAGAGCTCCCTTGTCCCACAAAGTCCCTGGCAATGCAGGGGTGAAGGAAACTGGACAGGCTGTGGGGATCAGTGTCAGGGCAGAGCCAGGGAGAAGAATGACTTTTGCATTTGATGGAGCTGT